TTTTTTGTTTTTTGTTGTTGTTTTTTTTGTTTGTTTTGTTTTTGATTCGGCTTATCAGACGCGCAAGAAAAATGGCGGTTTTATTTATTTTGGGCCCCTCTTTGGGAGAATCCTGGCTACACCTCTGCTAAGGTAACCTCTTCACTTTTCTCGAATCCTGAAACAACATTTTAGCAGATTAAATTCAGGGCCGGGACGACTTACTTATAGATCGAATTTTGAGCGTAATTAATATTCATTAATGATCTCTAATATCTTCAAAAAACTTAGCTTTGATAATGCATGACTGTAACGGCCAAGAAGAAGGATATAGCCAGAGATATCATTCATTGTAATTTACGCACAAAAACACACAGGATCGGATGTTTTGACAAAGAAAATATTAAATGAAGTACCTTACTAAGTGAATACCCTCTAAGTTTGCACGGATTAACGGATTTAGAAGCCGCATTAGTCAGGAATTTAATCAAGTTGGACTTAAAAATTAAATTGTCTTTAAAATAATTTTCGATATGAGGGCGTGTAGTCTCGATGTCTACTGCGGTTCATATGATAAAAGGATGAAATCTTTGCAATTAAAACTACAGACCACATTATTGCGAATATACCAATAATTCTTATGATTATTATTCTGAATAATTAATTGATAATCACATCCATTTAGGTTTGTTTTCCTGGAAAACTTTAGTTTCATATTTAAAAAAAAAAAAAAGTCATATCAAATGGAAAAAGAAGAAGAGAAATGTTTTATTTCTTTCGATTTTCCCTTCGATTATTTACTATTTTTGCGATAATATTTTTCCTGGAATCAGGCGCCATTAATCTATGAATGTGAAGTGCAATCCATTTTGTTATCATTTTCAATGACAATGTCTGTTACTTAGTGAATTAGATTGTAGGGTCGTTAACGTTTTTCTTGAATATTGGTGCTCTGGGATATGTTTTTATATTTTTTAAAGAGGCAGCCAGTCTGGACAAACAAAATTACTGCATCCCATATATATAAGCAATGACAAATGCTATGTCATAGAATAATCTTAAATCAAAATGTATAATCAATGAAAAACCTTGCATGAAACTTTGCATAAGTTTTAGCTAGTTTGTCGCATGGTATGGGTGCTTTTTACCTTTTTTTTTYCAATCTGTCCAACGATCCTATGTCAAATGGCAGGGCGTCTCATTACGCTGGAGAACATACAGAAAATAATGGAAAAATGGATGAAAGAGAAAAAGTAGAAAATAAAATGAATAAAATAAAAGGGGTAAGAGATAGATAGAATAAAATTAGGAGAGAAGAGAGAAGTATTATCAATGAAGGAAGGAACAGAGAAAGAGAAAGCTGAAGAAAGGAACAAAGAGCGAAAACAAAGAAAGAGAAGGAAAGAGAGAAACAGGGGCGGCGGAACCGGGGGGACCGCCGGGGGGGCACGTGCCCCCCACCAAATTTTTTTTGGGAGCCTGGCCCCTCCAAAAAGTATTGGTTCTTAGTCATTGTTTTACTGCGCATGCGTCTGCAATCAAACAAAACAYTGTCATTATCACATAGCGTTAAATATAATCTTCAGTGCCCCCCCCCCCCAAAGATTTTTAGCTTCCGCCGCCCCTGAGAAAGGGAGAGAAATGAGAAAAAAGAAAACATTCATATGCATATACACATATTTCAAAAACGTTGTTGGTTGGGAAATTGAAATCTAGATTCTAATCCAGATTGGAATATGAAGCACGATCTTTAAGTTAGAACTGTGCCGGATTTTTCGTATTCTAGCCAGAAAATATAAAAGCACAAAAATTCCATTTAATCTCAGAATGCCCATTTTAGATCTCGTACCGTCTTCGTTTTAGCCGTATATTCAGGGAAAGACAACCAAATCTCTCATTTTGTCGTTGAATACGAAATGTATAAAGTGTAACTCTTAATACAAATAAAATAAGACGATAACTCTTGCCGAATTATCTTATTAAGCTTGTGAGGAAACGTAATGAGAGTTATATTGCTAAATATATAATCTAAGGTGTTATTTTCGATAAAAAACGCTTTTCCTTAAGCGAAGGGATTGAAATTTCATTGAATTTAATTGAAACTGATCTATTTTAATTTCTTTCAAAATGAAAGCAATTGCAAATAAACTCCAAGTAACTGACAATAATGACCAACTACCTATAGTTGATTAATTTTTTTTTTTTTTTTTTTTTTTTTTTTTTTTTTTTTTTTGAGGTCAAAATCAGCGCCTAGCTTTTATAGAAAACCTTTAGGATAAAATCAGAAGTTGGGACAGATCTTTTTTGCATTTGGAGTCACTCAGCAGACATGGTAGAGGAGAATGAATTTCTTTAAAGAAACCGTGCGTCATGTCTGAGAGTAAAAGCGTTTTGTAATAAGAGAAAAAGACGCTCTGTTTGGAATCTTGATTGAGTAACGCCGGAACCCGGAAATAACAAAATGGACGGTCGCGGCTTAATGTATTGAAATAAATATGCACGTTATAGGAAAATATAAGATTTTGATGTTGAACTTGGTTTCTACTTGCACTTATTCTGGCCTGGATGGATGACAAATGTCGATTGAATTCTTTTAATTGCAGAAAATGGTCAATAAATAAGAGAATAGATAATCAGTGATAAAAAATAGCGTAAAGGAGAAAAAGGCAATGATAGAAAGAAAAGAAAAGAAAAGAAACCGTGAAAGGAAAGAAAGAAATAAGAAGAAAAGGTACGGAGACAATGGAAAAAAAAAAAAAAAAAAAAAAAAAAAAAAAAAAAAAAAAAAAAAAAAAAAAAAGAAAAGCCACGAAAAGAAAAGTCGAAAGATAAAATAATAGAATAAAAAGAACTAAAGCATCGAAAAGAAAATATTTTTTTTAATGGAAAAGAGTAAAGAGAATGAGAAAAAAACTTTTAGCCAAAGAACGTCTTCACTGCCCATCCTAGGCTAGTGTTACATGCAATATGTTTTTCTATTTCAGTAACATCATTATAATTGTTTTAAGGTTGACTTGCATTATATCAATAGAAGCCAGTCACACATCAAGGATTTGAATCAAGCAAAAGACGCCGAAATCAAACAATCGATTTGTAGGAAAAACTTTACGGTTATTGAGGGGTGGTCATATTCATCACAAGCTATTATCATAAGATTAGTCCTACAAACAAACTGTCAGAGATTCAAATTGCATGTTTTAGATCTTTTATAGGCCTACAACAAACCTGCAAACAGAAACTAGTAATAGTAATGGTGGGATTTATCTAGGAGTGCCCAGGCAGCTTTGATGAAATAGCCATTTCATATTGATCACCTTCTTGCTTTGATCTCTCTCTCTCTCTCTCTCTCTCTCTCTCTCTCTCTCTCTCTCTCTCTCTNCTCTCTCTCTCTCTCTCTCTCTCTCTCTCTTGTTCCCTTATTCTCGGAATTTACCTCCCATTTGAATACGAATCAGGATTTTCCTATACCGCTTTTCCTACATTCCTCGATTGCACTGGCTCTCATTCATTCACTCCAATGAAACGAGACAGGATCTTTGAATAATGAATATCGCTCCTAATAACTGCTTTATATTTTATACTTTTTTAATCTACTCTCTAAAATCGCTAGCTTTTTCCTAGTTCTCAACTTCAACTAGTCTTTTCCTTTAGGAACGATACAGGATTTTCGTGTCATGAGATATAAATCCATGACGATTACTCCACGCTTTTTCATTTCTCTACTCTATTGCACCGCACAAATGTCCTTCGATCCGCTATCTCCCTAACTAACGAAATACTTTCGCTTTCTAATAACCACTTTTCGAGGTTCGTTACCTGAGATTTACAACCATGACGATTAGTTTTCCTTACTCTTCCATTTTCTACTCTTTCACACCACAGAAACTGCGTTCCTATGTGCGATCCGCTAGTCCCTGAAAAATAACGAAAAACACTTTTTAATGACCACTTTTTTGAAGGTAAATAATTGTCACAAGCAAACGCTTTTCCAAGACCGCCATCGTAGAGTTCGTTTACTTAGTCGTTTAGTCACCTGCCAGATTATTTGGAAACACCTCGGAATCTAGCTCCTGTTTCTGACATCTGAAGAGCTCAGTTCTTTGCGAACGGTTCAACCTAGTGCAGAACATTCGTATTCAATTCATAAGAGACGTAGAAATTGAGATATTTCATGCTCTTGTTTCCATAAATCTTTGACTAAGATGTTTATTATATTATTATTTCCTAGCGGTCGCAAGATCATGTAAACATTAACATAAATACACAGAAATGCAAAGTGGTTTGACAACATTTTTAGAAACATGATCGGCTTCAATCCATTTCTCTGATCAAATTAACGCGAGAATCACGTCTAACGGAGTACCCCAAGGTTCTGTATTGGGCCAAAATTTATTAAATTTCTTTCTGCGTTTATTTAGGGTATTTCAATTGCAGCCTAATCTTGTGTAGTTATTTATTTCTAAGCTAATTTAACGAAGATCGCTAAGATTGCAGTAAAGTTTTTGAAATTTGATTAAATACATTAGCGAACTAACTCCATCAATGAAATGTCGCTGAAATACTTAGTCACTAAATGTGATACGTTATTGGAAAAACGTTTTACAGATAAGCGATATAGATCGTATCTGGAACCGTGCTGAGCTGCGAAAATGTAAGGATCTACAAAACACTTCATTAATATAAACAAAAACACACCAACGTTAGAAAAATACAATGAAGCAGATTAAAAAATATATTCAAACTTCGATACAAAAGCTCCAACTCGACACGCAACGTATATATGGATCCAACAAGATTAGATTCTCATGTGCGGGTATTTTGGTTTGCTTATTGTTAYTATTCCTCTTTTGTGTTTCTCTTAAATATTGTCATCATTCTTTATCTTTTTTATCGACTTGAATTACTTGCGCTTCAAGCAGGGTAATATTTTGGCTTGAAGTTTAAAACGAAAGGGGATTTCTGCGTCAGGCCCTGGAGATTGTAACCGAGATATGGAATGGCTGAAAATCTGCAAAGCAATTAGCCTTCTTAAGAAAAAAGAAAACATCGTAGGCTTGAAATAAGTATTGTGGTAAATCCTATAAATAAACTGTGGGCTACTAAACCGGTGGCGCCAAGATCCTGGGGCATACTGTCGTATCTGGCCCACGAAACAAAGAATGCGAGGGAGTTGAAACGTATGTGCGTTCGTAGTTGAAAAAATATTTAGCACGACTGATAAAGGGAGACAAAAATTGGAAATGTGAAGTGGATTTCCCGAAGATACTTAGTGATTAAGGAATTATTCTCGTTATTTGTTTAGGAAAAAAAGCTCTGTAGTAAACCTGCTTTTCTGAACGGAGAATGAATGGCTATTGTTCGTGATTATTTTGAGGAAAAATGCAGGTGGTTTCTTCATATCAAATACAACAGATTTGAAAGGGTTTCTGGAGTTCCGTATGAGTTAGGTATAGGCATGCGTGACGATGGCACAATGGGATATTAACCAAACTCTATTTATTCCATTCTGTGGTTGCCCAAACTGTGAAAACACGAAAATACACTGACACAGGTCGCTAAAAACAGACTTTGCACGTACAAAAACAACATCATCTTGTTCTATCAATTCCTTTATGTGAACTCCGACTTTTTGATGATTTGGAGATCAGATAAGGCCCATCGCTAAGCCGGTTGAGATCACTTCCAATATATATCCCCTTCGTTTACTGATTACCTATTTAAATTATCTTCAATTTTTAAAAAATATTGGCATATGAAGGCCCTGAAAGGTAATTCAGTTCAAGTTCCGGAAAGAAACGAATGAATCACTGCCTCAACCAATGAGAAAATKGTTCAACGATTGACACAAGACGTCACCAGGACAGCTGATCTGCTGTAAAAAGAGAGACGCATCAGTATTAGAGCGTCTGCGCTTCTCGATATGTTTCAGTTCTTCAGGCCTACGATGTGTAGTCATAACAACGATCTAATTTCTGGCATTACTCTCGACTATAACGACTAGATGTGCTAAAGCTCTCCGTAAAAACGATGTCCCCGAATAACAGCAGTTTATGGCGTTCCTCGCAAGCTAAGCCGATGTATTCTTACGATCAGTGTTACTTCATTGACGATAACCCAGCTGATTTTACCCAAGATCACAGCACTACTTACTATGCAATCATAGCCATAAACTGCCTGTCTTGCCTGCCTACGATTTTTGGCAACGTTTTGATTATTTTAGGGATCTGGTCACTGCCTGTGCTACATACTCCTTCAAATATTCTTCTCGTTGGTCTAGCGTGTTCTGATCTTGGAGTCGGACTTCTYGTCCCACCTCTTAACATTGCTAGGATTGTCCCTAAACTTCAAGGAAGACCGTTCAATAACTGGTGCACCGTTCAGGTTGCTTACACGTTCTTCGGCGTGATGTTTTGTGGAGTGTCGTTTTTGACTGTCGCGGCCTTTAGTATAGACAAATACCTGGCTCTTCACTGGCATCTTCGATACGTGACAATCGTCACCGCCAAAAGAGTCATATGTATCGTTGTTTCTTTTTGGCTTATTTTTGGCGCCATGTCTACTATTCAAATCTGGAGCATGACAGTGTATCGTATTCTAGTCTGCATAGTCGTGCCCTTCTTTCTTTTAGGTACATCCTTCACGTACTTTAGAATCTACAGAGTCGTACTACGGCATAAAGTCCAAATACAAAGCCAGTCTCAAGTCACTACACATAGCCAACAAGGAGCGAGTAATAATAATCCAAGTAGTTCATTAAACATGGCACGATATAGGAAGTCAGTTACTAGCATGTTCCTGGTCTATTGCTTATTTCTGTTATGCTACATTCCTTATATATGTGTTCAAGTTACAATCCTAATCACAACTCTAAACTTTCAAAATRACAACCAGATCAACTCTCGGAGTTACAGCTACCTCTACGTAGCAGTAGATGTAACTGAAACGATTGTGATTCTCAACTCTTTGATAAACCCTCTCATTTATTGTTGGCGAATGCGAGAGATTCGCCATGCGGCCAAAGTTGCACTGTCCATCATTCGATGCAAGGGTGGCCCGCAATTACAATCGGATCGATCCATGGCAGGATTTTCTTCCTAATTCAAGACAATTTTTCTATACACGGAGAAATATATCAATGAGTTTTCCATAAATATATCCATGTACATAGATATCTAGCAAGTAAGTGGCTATTTGTTCGTTTTGACTAGCTATTCCTTGTCAATAATCAAATACAGAATAAAGAAAAAAACCCAAAATATATCCCGMGTATCATAATTATTTTTCAGTAATTTATTCAGCTCATTTCTCCCAAGATCAGTTTAGAAACATATTTATTCCTGCTATTTATTCTTAACCAATAGAAACGAAAACTCATTTGTTCTATTTTTTTTTTTTTAATTCTAACATTTTTAAAGCATGTATTTTTGAGCCTGTGTTCTAGTTTTTACGCTGAACTTTGTTTCATTTCCATAGTAAGCCTTCAAGTGGGCTATACTCCATCAACAGTAGGTCATAACCGTTGCTACCTTCAATACATAATTTATTTGAAGACAAGTGAATGTTTTTCATCTCAAAACTTCACTAAAAATTCCTATAGGTATGAATTACTTTCACCGAAATCCCTAACGATTTCACGCCTGACTTCAAAAAACCACCTTAGGTCTTTCTTCCTAGAATTCTCCATAGATGATTCTGGCCAGTTTTTCTTTAGCTTGGGCTCTCTTAGTTATCCGTTCGCTTAAGCGAGTGTTTTCTTGACATATATAATTGATTACTTTAGGTCAACACACATAAAAGCTGCTCACAGTACGTTGCCAGTGAGTAATCAGTCATATTTAGCAAAAAACCTAGTTTCGCTTTAGCTTCGGTTTTGGATGAAATATAGAGTGGGATGTTTAGCTGCAAACGAATTTATTGATTTTTCAACCAAATTAATGATATACATTAAAACTTGTTAGTTCTCGACTTTAAAATTTACTGGCACTTGGACCGTGTCTCGCTTTACTAAAAACAAAAACATAACAAAACAAAAATAAGAAAAAACAACTTAAGTGTTTAACTTTAAGTCCCAAATCGAAATCCAGACTTTTTGAAAAACAGGGCATATTCCACTGGGTTATTTATGCTAAATATGTCGACTCCCGCCAAAAATAAATATTTGACGTAGCGAAATATTTTTTTTCTAAATTTGAGTTGTCCTCGCTTGTTCCATGTCTCAGCTTCCGACCTAAACTTTGCAAACGAATCAAATAATGATTTAACTATAGAGCGCCGGAAATCTTTTTTTTTTAAAACATCTCTTACGAGAACTCCCAAAAATTGGCAAGGAGATTGCCAGTCCGCATTAGTCATTGACGCTTGAAGCATTTTTAGCTCTTAAAATTTTTCTTTGGGGTTTTTCTTTCTAAATTCGGAACAGAAAATTGAATATATAAGTCGCTGCAAAATTTTGTAAAATTCAATAACAAAAAACAAACCAAGACACTGCTGAATATCATACAGCGAATTGTAGAAGTAATTTTGATATAAATCAATGCCCGAATTTGAAGAATTAGCGCGAATACTAATATTTAGAAAAGTGTGGAAAATATGAACCAGAGTGGCCGCTCTCTCTTTTCATATCTACATTATTTTCTAGTTCTTGAACAGAGATTGGGGAAGATTTCAGTACTTTTCCTCTGGTAGAAAAAAAGATCAAACTACATTCTCTTATGACTGTTAACTTTCTTTTTAGCAAAGCTACTCGACATTTGCTTTTCGTAATTATTCATTTGTGTCGTCCTAGATCGTGCGTCGAACGCTACAGAAAAAATTCGTCAACAATAAATGTATTAAGCTTTGAGAAAAACGTTTGAGCTAAAGCCATACAGCAAGCTTGTTGAGTCGCATATTTCCATGGAGATAAAACTTTACAATGATAATGATAACATAATAACGAGTAAAAACCACTATCAACTTAGAAAAACGAAGAAATAAATAGCGACAAGTTTCAAACTTTGACTCCGCCATGTCGTATGATGTCAAAAAACATGATTTCAAACATTCGAAAATATACCTAGTGCAACACCTATTAATAAGGCAGTTAATTAATAAGAGAAAAACTCCTTTTATTTTATTAAATTAGTTTGGATAAGGGGTATTTTTGATGCGCTAGCACGGGAATAAATCTACAAATTGGAATTTAGTTTGACAATGAACTGTTGTGTGATGAGATGAGTTTTTAGAGAGAAATATCTTAGCCAAACGTTAACAACTAGTAATCGTCAAATGCGATTTTGGAGAAGCTMGATTCGATTTTCGTACGAGTGCATCGTTACTTAAACTGAGCAATCAATTTATATATTTATGAGATTATGGCAGAATAGTCGTGCTTATAATTTTTTACTTGTCATTGAAGATATTAATAAATGAATAAGCAATAGAAATTTGGTATGCGAATATCGACGAAATTTCATAATTAGTAGTTGGGGGTCTGTTTATGCAGGGAAATTGAGAGGTTTGGAGAAGGGTGATTTATTGCTTCGTACAATGTTTTCGAGGAGATTTATAGAACTGATAGCAAGACACAACACAGGGAAGCAAAGGGAAGGAAAGGATTGGAAGGAAGAAAGAAAAAGAAAAGAAAAGGAAAGAAAAGGGGAGGAAGGGAAAGGAAGGGAAAGGAAAGGAAA